AAAACTCGACTCCTTTGCTTCGTTACATTTTACCAGAATCTAGCCAAAAATTTCCCTTCCGTCTTGCAGCTAACCTGTCCCCCAAACTCAAGAACCAAAACAATATCCCCTCGCTCGTATCGACAAAAAAAACCTTTTAAATATTCCTTTATTGCCTAAACAAACAAATATTCTTTTTTTTGACCCTCGACTAATAACGAAAAACAACTTTAATATTAGGGGAATTCATGGTTTATTGCGTTTTTAACGAAGAAAACAAATAAAACCTTTTTTTTTATCAGGGGGCATCATAAATTTACATAATACAAATTAACAAAATACGTGCGTATTTTAAACTTGAGTTTTACCTGGCTTATAACAAAAGGTTCGATATTTGAATCTAAACACAGACAAAAAAACATCTATATTTACTTTTGAATCGGTAGAAATATACGCATTTAAAAATCTCGTCAAAAAAACTTGAAATATTATTTCGATTGTTTTCTTTGGTAAAAACAACAGGAGCGTAACACAGAAATCTTTTCTATACACTTTAAATAAAAAAACGCTACAGTGTTCATCCTCCGCAGTACTTCTTCATTTGTGACTTTGTCTGTCCATGGTATTTTTAGGATCCTTTTGTATAACCATAGCTCAAAAGCCTGAAGTTTATATAGAATTTCCGCCTTCAATGTCCACGTTTCTACTCCGTATAGAAGCACTGAGTACACGTAACATTTAAGGAGCCTTATTTTTGTTTCAGGCAGCAGAAGGTAAGCCATTTTAACGTAAGCAGAACAACAGTGTTTATAATATTAATAACATATGGAGAGGACAAGAAACTTTCTAAAGAAAGCAATGTTCTGGAAGACCAAAAATATCTGCCACTCATGAGGAACGTACTCTTTTGGAGAGATTAGAAGAGAGTCCTTTTGAATATGCGATAACTGCAAGAATTATGTCACAGTTTCCGGGAAGAAATACAATAACTTGGCGCATCATTAAAGCATCGCAGTTCGGTACCTAAGCATCTTAGGTACCGAACTGCAGCAAAAAACCAAACTCGTACACCACAACAGAAGCAACCAAGACTTATATTTGCTTAAAACCATCAGCTACAAAATCAAGACTTTTGGGACAGTGTAATATTTACAAATGAGAAAATTTTTCAATCTTCTAAAAAGGGCCAAATTGGGGTGTATACACCAGATAATAATAGATTTAATCTTCTATATGTTGATAGATATCGAGCAGCTGGTCATTTTAGCGCCAATATATGGGGATGGATTTCATCTATAAGAATAGAAATGGTATGGCGAATTGATGGCAGGTTTGTCGGGCAGACTTATCTGAATATTCTAAAAAACATCATGTTTCCCAGTAAAGAACAGTTATATCCAGAAAATAATTTTATTCCCCAACAAGATAATTGTCCTGTTCACACTGAAAATATAATAAACCTGTGGCCCCAGAATAACAACATCAAAACCTTCTCATGGCCCAGCTACAGTCCAGATTTAAACCCGATCGAGAATGTGTGGAGGGTTATTATGAAACGGTTGTGTCGGCGTAATTTTACAAAATGCTGAAGAGCTGTTTCACGTTATACAACAGGTTTGGGAAGAGCTCTCTGAAGAAGACAATTTCATAGTTCCTTTCACGCAGATGGACCGAAGACTACAAGCTATTAATGTTATTAATGCTGATGGTGATGTTATAAAATATTAATTTTATTTTTACATACCTAAATTTAGTATAGTTTTGGTCTTCCAGACCCTCACTGAGAGTATGCTTGAGAATAACAACTACAAGCTATACTGGGATCGCACTGTGCTCACAGACCAAACTGTAGCATATAATAGACCAGATCTCGTGATAGTTAATAAACTAACAAGACAAACAACAGTAATGAATGTGGCGATACCTAACAACAATAATTTGCGTGTTAAGTACAACGAAAAGATCGCCAAGTACAGAGATCTGGAAATACAAATAAGGAGACAATGAAGAACCTCTTAGAAAACATAAAAAAAGCTGGGCCTAAAAGAACATCTATATCATTTCTACTATATCACAACAAGATCATGCAGAAAGCTGTGTTACTTTCGACGTCCAGATGCGTCCGAAAATTTTTGGGAGATACACCGACGTACCAAGTCATCTAGGACTCGATAACATGGAAAGAGTCTCATCAGAGCTCAATCCTTTTGGTACCGTAGGTATCTGGAATGAGTGAATTTTCCCCTTAGCGACAATGGGATAGAAATAATAACAAGCCTATTTTATGTAAAAATAGTTTTTTTAGGAACCACCTGTACATGAATAAATAAATTTATAATAATTTTAAATAATAAATTTATTTACATTAAAAATCGCCTTAGAAAATGATAGATAGCGTGCTAATTCAACAGTAAATGAAAATGACGAATTGGAGAATAAATCCAGTTCTTATTAAGACTATTCAAAAAATATGATAGGAGAATTCTATAAAAATTGATGAGACCATCATAGGAGTATCATAAACAGTGTATGTACTGGTATTAAAAACAGCGGAATAAAATTAATAAGGCATCGAGGAATAGTTCTTGGAACAGAGGGAGTAATATTTTACTTAAATACTGTAATAAACACTTACGATTTTAAAAACAAACCACGAACTTACAATTTGTTCTTTTCTTTTGATAACACAACTACTTGATTCTAAACTAACTTATTAATTAATCAAAAAATATATTCTCCCCACTATGTACGAAATTTGGACCATCAAAAGAGGATGAACCGAAGTATTCGGAAAGAAGGATTACAAAATGATAAATTAGTTTTTTAATGAGAGATCGTGGAATCGATAACTGTCTTAATTACATGGAACATGGTTAATTTTGAATATTCTTCTGTAGATAAGAGCTAAGTGGATTCATATTCTGTGGAATGTTTCGTAAAGTTAACTCAATTAATATTTATACATTTTAATTGCTAACAGCCCTCGTACCATATACGAGGACAAGTTGAAATGTTCTCAGGTATGGTGTATAATGTTATGGCTATATAAAGGTTTCTTGTAAACAGCTTATATTGAAATTAAAAACATTATTATCAATTTTTGAAATAAATTATTCCTCTTTGCATGAATGTTTGTCTAGGTTTCCCTCTGCATCAATCTTATAGTTGAGTCCAGTTGGCGATTCTTTGTAACAATCTCAACATGGTTTTATAAATATATAAACACGTTCTTTTACAAAATTTCGAAATATCTTTATCTTTGATATTAAATAACAATTTTTAATATTACGTGTGACCTCCTTTAGTTTTGATGACAGCTTTGATCCTTCTTGGCATTCTTTGAATGTTTTTCCTATTTTATCGTAGGTGACAATGAGTCTCTTTTTACTGCTTATTTGTGACAATTTCTTGGGCAATCCCCCTCTTCATGAGCTCCCATAGATTTTCCATCAGGTTGAGGTCTGGGGAATTATCCGGCCACTTTAGTACTTTATTTCCTTTTTTCCAGGTAAAATGTTACCTTCTGTTTCTTTCTGTTGTTTACGCAGATATCCCTCATTTTTCTCTCGTTTCTGGGTGTAGTGACACGTTTCGACCACATTTTTGGACACTTTGCTGAGTCAGGGGTTTGTTGGTATCGATGTTTTTCTTGATATTACTCATTGTTACTTGCGCTACTTGGCTCATAAAAGTGTCTTTATCTCTACTATGTTAGTTTTCGTGATGTCTTTAGCCTTAGCCAATATGATTTTATTCTCAAAAATCGATATTTTTTGAAAATACTTTAAAACCAAAACTGTTTATTTTTTCACTAACAATCATCATTAACACATTACTAAAATATACTACATAGATAAAACGATACCAATCTTTCAAAAACAATGGCCATGTTTATTTTTTTTTTTTTTAACTTGTCTTGTTTCACAGCACACAGTTTTGTATTCACGCCATATGGTTTCTCTCTTCTTGCAATTATTTCGTCTATCTTCTCCTTACTCGTTTTTTTTTGTTACTTCTATATAGCTGATGACAGATATTGTTTCAAACTTATAGCTCTATTGGAATCAACCGATGTCCCTAGATATATGAACTCTTTGAGCGATTTGAAGTTTAGGACATTGGCAAGAAAATCTTCGTCAACTTTTCTAGCTCTCTTGATTATGTTAGTCGGTATAAATTTAGTTTTATTTGATTTATATGTAATCCCTTTCGTTCTGCTGCTGCTACTAGTCGTTTAAGATTTTCTTGGTTCTCGCAATTGTTCTTAATATAGTGTCCAAGTTGTCAGCATATGCTAAACATTTTGACTGATCTATTAATGCTGTCTAAATTAGCGTCTCGAATGTATGTGACTTTTCTAAGATACTATCTACCTATAGCTGATTATATAAATGAACAAACTATTCTTGCGGCTCAACGACTAAGCATGTTGGTGAACTTACTCAGACGTGAGTAGTTTCCTAGGATGATGATTCGAATCCGCTTAAGTTTGTTAAAAATAGCACTATAAAATTCAAAGTGGTTCTGCTAGTTTGAATTGGAAGACGCTAGAAGTTCGGTAGGTACATAGTATGTGTTGCAATTAATAATTTTCCAAGGGAAGAGATTCCTATCATGAACGTTGTATAACTTGAATGAAAATATAAAAAGGATGTACTATATGAAAAATATATATGTACTTTACCTTCAATTACTAGCGCCTTGAAGTATCTCACTGTCGTACATAAATAATTTGATTTAACCAAAAAAAAATTAAAAACTTATTTTTTGTTAAGATGCTAAAAATTTAAATATTAATTACATTACATTTTTTATATGACATAAAATGTAATTTCCATGGTATTGCTGATACCTACTTTATGATTACGAATTATATCCAATAATAATGATTTCCAATAAAAAGCTAGGGTATATATATATATATATATATATATATATATATATATATATATATATATATATATATATATATATATATGACTAACAACTTGTGGTATTAGGAAATGTACACTGTTACTTACCTTTTTTGGATTGATTATATTGTTTCACAAATTTTCTTCAAATCCTGAAAAGAACAAAAAATATTATTTTTTTTTAATAATTATAATAACTTAACATAGTAAATATAATACAATATAGCCCAAAATAAATAGTACTGAACTTGCAATTATTTTGTGTTTTAAAAAAATACATATTATTGTTTTAAAAAATACGTATTACATGATTTACATGTTCTAAATGTGCTCTTCCTCGCTCAAGACAGACTTCATACCTATGTTTCAAGTTTCTAGTCATGTTATTAAATAACCGTTGTCTCAAGTTCGCGAAGAAGGCTCTAACGGCTTCCTTTAATTCATCGATGGTTTGTGGTGCCCGTCTAAAGTCATGCCCCAAATGTATGCTTTTGGATGTGTGAGGTCAGAAGAATGTGAAGGATAAGTCGGTAAATCGTGAAAAGCGTGTTAAAATTTGTATTTACATCTGTTAATTAAGTGTGATTTTCCTACCATTTTCTTCGATAAAGTACAAATCATTGATTATGTGTCCCTAAACCTCACACCAGACACTCAATTTTGCACTAGGTATGTAAAGGAACTTCTTTACTTAAAGGAATAAAAAAAAAAGACAGTGAGGATTTGATTTCACGTACACTTTCTGTATATTCGCTTATACGTATTTCATCCTACCATGATTCATCAGAGCGACTGGCACAGAACCTCTAACTGTCTTTTCTTTTATTTCGGTTTACTCTTTATGAGTACAATAAACTAGTACACAAAAGATTTTTACTTAGATGAGACGATATGTTGTGAAATACACTTTTTTAAAATTCCCCATGTCTTTCTTTACACCTCTTTCAACGTTAAAGCAAAAATCTAAAGTTTGGTTTCGTCAAACAAGAAATCATTGAATTTCTACTTTCATGTTTTGAACTTCTTGAACTTCATATGGTCGAGAATAGCCCAGAAATCAATTTGTGCGGCGATTTACAAAGCCCGACAAATGAAAATGTGCTTCGTCTGAAAATCATACATTTTTCAAAAATTCAGAATTTTCATTCTGTATCGCAAGAATTCTGGGGCAATATTCCACTCTACTGCGATAATTCCGAGGAGTAATTGTTGATGTACCTGAATCACATACCAAAATGCACCCAGCTCCATCAGGATTTTTGCAATGAAGTTATTTTTAAGTTATGATGAAACGCTGTCCTTGTCTGGCTGGTTTTGGATTTTCGCTCAAAAACACGATTATAGTTATTGTTACTGTTAATTGTCCTGGAACGCCCCGAGTTTTCTTTTGGTTTGCATAAAACATTAACCATATTTATGAACTTTCCAATAACTTTCAAAATTACATCATTACTTGTAGAACGTTTGTTAAACTGTTATGTGAGTATGTATAATAGTATTAATAAAAAGTATTTCCTAAATGACAGTAGGGTGGACTACAGATAAATAGGCCTAATAAGTAATAAGAGCTGTACCAACGTATAATAAAAAAAAAATTTACTAGAATGGTTTTGAAAAAAGGCAAATTATTATTAATATAAACACTTTTGGTATATTTTGGTGAATGCTCCAAATTTAAAAATCATAATTCTCAATAATGGCGAATGCTCCGTCCATAACAATAATCTCCGGTGCACCACGAGTTTAGCTTTCGTAGTACATTCGTATAAATTATAGACAAATAAATGATTTATTGTTGAAATAGATGTCAAACAATGTGGTGCAGCCATATTTGTTTTTATTTCAGAAATAGTACAGAGCTACTTTTACTAACTTTTTAACATAACAGTAGTTACATTATCTTTTTATTATGCAGTTTCATTATCTCTTGTAATATCTCTATTCTATGATACCAACGAAATACAAAAGAAAATCAGATTCAGACAGAAGAAATTGAACAGAATAAAATCTACGAGAAATAATCATAGAATGGGAGTCACAAAATTATCACTTGGGTGTCACGCTGTACTGAGTTCGCAAAATGAAAAAGCTTGTAGTTCATATTTAACGATTACAAAAATATCTATCAAAAAACCTATCAAACGAATTACATATGAATTCGCAGACTCTGTAGGAATACAACATACGTTCAATAATGATACATAATAAGAAGTTAATCATTCGGCAGATGTATCTGAAGCATAAGTTATGAATAGACAAGAATAAATAATAGACAACCCAAGGCATGTGGGTTGTTTAGAAATACTGTAATTCTCTGCCTTTTGAGTAGGGCTTTTTCAAACAATTTAAAGTCAACTTAGCGCATCAGTGGTCCAAGCACAATCCCCAGCAACAATTTAAAAGAATCAATGCTAGAACTATCATTTAGAATGCTTCTGCATGTGCATGATACTGCATGTATGGGTTCATGTGTACCAGAATTTTCCCACGCAATCAAGGAGCTATACCGGAACACCTTTTCGCAATGTGTCATTTAACAAAATGGCAAAAGAAACATAATACGTTTGCTTTTGAGATTGAGACAAATAATTCCGACTCCTGAACCCACCTGCATCTTTGAAAACAAATTCGAATTTGTAAACTTCGAAAGAAGATTCCTAGTATGTTTGTATATAAAATGAGCCCTATTTTCAGCTTCGAATTTTTGCAATGAAAAAAAGTAGCCGCAAGAAGTATGAAACAAGCGCTCTTGACAAAGAATGAAAGACAGAAAACAGCTAAACTTTGAAGAACAACAGATTTTTCGAAAGAAAAAGAAATCAGAAGGTGTTTGGATAAGTTTTTAGTATTTATTTAAGTATTTTGTTTTTAATAGTCTCATCATTTTATTACAATATTATTACTTAATTACTTTTTTCATTTAACAAAACTACTTACATATTTTGAAATTCTCACGTTAAAACCGGCTAACTCATATGGTTGTCAAGATCTGAAAAACCACTTCTCTAAATCCCCAAAAATTTTCGGGAACTATTAACTTTAACCCCGAAAACGCGAAAATGCTTTTAAAATATCAAATTTCTTGCAAACCATATCTCAATTATTGCATTTTAAAAGGACAATGCACACGCAATACAATAATTTTAATTTATAACGGTACGCTTCACTTAACTATTCCACGACCACCACTATAGGGTTAGTCCAAACTGAAAAACCCAAGCAGTAGGCAGTAGTTAACTACATCTCGAGATGATCTGACACACAGTCTTGCGTCCACAATGACTATTCCTCACTGTGATAGCAAGTCCATTCCCTCCACCCGTTGCGACAATTAACAGATTTCAACAAAAGGTAAGTGAGTTTTTCCCGAATTGATAAAATTTTATGAGTTATGATAAGTGTTTTCCCTATTTTACTATTACATGTATTCTATTCCATTATTTATTATTTTAATTAGTTAACCAGCTAAATTCAATACATCCTACTTATATACGATAGGAAAAAAAAACTTAAAAAAGCAGAAAAAAGTGTACATTTTTAAAGAAATAGCAAAATACACTTAATATTTCTACAATTTGTTCATACGTTTATTTTTTTATTAATCATATAACTGTTATTTTCACTGAGATTTTGTTTAGTTCGACCTATTTTGTCTCATATTTTACTGTAATTTCTATTCATTATTTTATATTAAGTGTATTATTGAATATTTTACATTATGTATTTTCTTTTTAATAAAATAATCAAAATATGATATTTATTGCGCAAATTAAGCATCAAAATTATGTTTTTAAATTATTTAAAATACTAATTAATTATTTTTCCTATTATATTACAAGTGGACTACCTATCGCAGCCAAGTGGGGCATCTAACCCTGATATCCGGGATATATGGTAAAAAAACAGTAATTATAGTAGAAGACTAGTAGTAACACAAATTGATGTCGAAGTTAAAGATCTATCTTGTAAATTCCTGGAAGCAGTAGAAGAGGAAAACCAAAGAGGACTTGATGTGAGATGCTTAGGCAGGATATGTGAACGGGATTGATATTGCTGGTTATTATGACGTAGTTAAAGAAAAAACTGTCGAAACCAATTGCGTAAAAAAACTGTCGAAACCAATTGCGTATAAAAACTGTCGAAACCAATTGTGTCAAAAATATGTATAAGACAAGGGGATTTATGGAGTCCGTTACAATTCCATAAATAATGGTCATGAAAAAAATTATAAACAAAAAAAAAAGGAAAGAATAGAAAAGGAAAAATATTGATAATATGTTACGCTAATGACGACGTAATAACGGTGAAATAGTTTGACTTCGACGGAAATTGAACTCTGACCTCATCCCAGCTGATCGATGGTCAAAAATTGATTTATTTATTTCATTAAACAAAAACATTCGGCACATCCGTTTCACGTATGTAAACATTATTTCTCGATAATCGACTACAAATTGGCTTATTACGAAGTCAGAGAGGATGTTCGGAATCCGGCCAGCACTTTTACTTACTTTACCTTATTTGGATCGTTCTAGAAATTATAAAACGTTGATGGTTTGTGTAGTAAAAGGCGAGAAATCGTGAAGATAATAAAAGTTGATTTGTATATGGATTAGATCATTATTATTATTAATACGGTTTATAAGTGATTCTAACAAACTTAACAAGAAACAAATTATTTTGATGACGATAATTTTTATGTTGAGAGTCAGTGACGGTGTTCTAGATTTGAAATTGAAAGCATATAGTCCAAACTGGAGTTATGACGGATTTGCGTCAGAAAGATGTTTAAAATTATTTTGAAAGAGGAAAGAATATACATTTTCTAGCTGTCGTAGCAGAGCATAATTACCTACCTCGTAAATCAACCCTAATAGGATCAGTAAGACGTTGTCGTTCTCAGAACGAATCACATCACCTCCAGTGTTATCTGTGGTATTGACAATCTGTTAACGATGGTAAAAAGAGTAGAATTTCGTGCTCAGAACTATGCAGATGATGCAAGCCAGTAAGCATGCCTTAGTAAATACATGATATTCGAAAAACCTTCCATTAAATCGTAATAAAACGACCATTCATTTTTTAATAGCTTCTAAATTAACAATTTCACCATGAATGTAATTATACTGTAACTGAAGAGTATCTTTAAGTT